TTAACCTATACTTGAACCGGTTAAAATCAAGTTGCTTGATCTCTATTGGTAAATGATTATACAGTATGTCCCCGGATAGGTGAAAGGACTCTTATAAAAGGTACAATTTTTTCGATATTAATTGTAATTTTTTGGGGTTTAACCCTGCTTGATGAAAGACTAATTTTGAACATATTTTCAATTTTTAAAAAAAGAGTGAGTCTTGACATTGAAAAAAAAACTTTTTTTGTGGCAGGTAAAGTACCTTTTCTGTTTACAGTACGTGAAAGTGTTACTAAGAAGTTTTGTTCAGAATGAAAAACTATGGCCATATGCAAATTTTCGGAATGATCGGCCTACTTTCATAAAAATCCATATCAAACAATTTTATGTCTAAAAAGACTGCCATGGAAAAACAAAATTGCTTTCCTGTCAATGTTAATCTGCCAAACTGTAATTTAGTAAACTTAAAGTGTTTTTAAAATACAATGTTCACATTAGAGGAAAAAGTTTACGTGATTCAATGTTATGAAACCGGGGAAAAACCGATAAATATGGCTATTNAATTATCAACATTGTCAAAACATGAAATAATTTGAAATTGAGTGTAAACCACTCCAAATAATACTAGTATAATCTAATTCAAACTTTTTAATGGAGGAGTCTCTTTTTTTTGTATCAAATAAAATGATTTTTTTGGGAATTTTTTGCTACCAAATTATGTGGTATTTCAATTTAATCTTTTGCATATGTTTTCATGATATATTTACTTATTTAAAAAGGATTGTTTATAGAAATAATCTTTACATTGTCCCTCAACCAAGTTGTTGCGTGGATTGTCCAAGTTGCTGGTTGTCACAATATCTATCCTTGAAATGATTTGAAACTCAAAAATCAAATAGTCTTCTTTTCTATATACAGTGTGTCCCCGGATAGGTGAAACGACTCTTATAAAAGGTACAATTTTTTCGATATTAATTGTAATTTTTTGGGGTTTAGCCCTGTTTGATGAAAGACTAATTTTGAACATATTTTCAATTTAAAAAAAAAGAGTGAGTCTTGACAGTGAAAGAAAAACTTTTTTTGTGGCAGGTAAAGTACCTTTTCTGTTTACAGTACGTGAAAGTGTTACTAAGAAGTTTTGTTCAGAATGAAAAACTATGGCCATATGCAAATTTTCGGAATGATCGGCCTACTTTCATAAAAATCCATATCAAACAATTTTATTTCTAAAAAGACTGCCATGGAAAAACAAAATTGCTTTCCTGTCAATGTTAATCTGCCAAACTGTAAATTAGTAAACTTAAAGTGTTTTTTAAGTACAATGTTAACATTAGAGGAAAAAGTTTACGTGATTCAATTTTATGAAACCGGCGAAAAACCGATAAATATGGCTATTGCTTTATTTAGTGGAAAATTTTCAAATACTAGAATTAAAAGAAGTACTTGTTGGCGTTTAATCAAAAGATTTCTTACAGAGGAAGTATTCACTCTAAAGAAAATTATGATGAAACTGATTAACTGTTAATTATGATTAACTGTTTTCTTTTGTGAGCGAACATACAATTAATTTTTTGTAAACATTTTAAGAACGGTTTGTATATTTCTCCCGAACAATCTGAATCTCAAAACAAAAAATCTTAATAAAGTACCTAATCTTATAAAGTAGGCCGATGATTCCGAAAATTTGCATATAGCCATAACTTTTTATTCTGAATAAAATTTCTTAGTAACATTTTACCGTACTGTAAACAGAAAAGGTATTTTACCTGATACACAAGAAGTATTCGCTTCAGTGTCAACACTCACTTAAACTTTTAAAACTTGAAAATATGTTTAAAATTAGTCTTTAACTAAGCAGGGCTGAACCCCAAAAGATGACAATTAATATCGAAAGAAATTTACATTTTATAAGAGTCGTTTCACCTATCCGGGGACACACTGTATGTACTTATGATTATCGTTTGAGATGATTGATGTGTTTGATTAATTCTCTTTCGTGCTTTAATCAAAATCCTTAAATATTTAGAATCGGGCATTTCGACAACAGCATTCAGCCAGACACAAACTTTCGATTGAGATATAAAACGTTAAAATCCGTCAAACTGTTCTCTAATTATAGTCGATTTAGTTTGAATTAATTTTTTTATATAAAGGCTAGACTTTCGGGTGTTCACAAGTGCATAAACAACGAGCCGAACACGGTGTCATTCCGAGGGCTGTAGAAGGTTAACGGCAAAGAATTGAAATCGGGCATTTTGTGATTTTGATAGAAGAAACTATGACGAATCGAATAACGTATAGATCTTGATCATCGGGTACATCGTTTACGAGTTATCACCGCTTAAAAAAGGTCATTTTTGTGTTATTTTCGTGTACCTTCGCATTATTTTGGCGTTTAAGCGGAATTCGAAAGACATTTCGAATCGGGTAGTTCCACTTTCGTATTGGCCAAAGATTAAGCTTTAAATGAGATATTGTTTATCAAAATCGGTTGACTGGTTCTCTTGTTATAATCAAAATACTATACATGTAAAATCCTATCTAATTGGGGGCTAACTTCNTTTGCATATGTTTTCATGATATATTTACTTATTTAAAAAGAATTGTTTATAGAAAATAATCTTTACATTGTCCCTCAACCAAGTTGTTGCGTGGATTGTCTAAGTTGCTGGTTGTCACAATATCTATCCTTGAAATGATTTGAAACTCAAAAATCAAATGGTCTTCTTTTCTATATATGTACTTGTGATTATCGTTTGATATGATTGATATGTTTGATTAATTCTCTTTCGTGTTTTAATCAAAATCCTTAAATATTTCGAATCGGGCATTTCGACAACCGCATTTAGCCAGACACAAATTTTCGATTGAGATATAAAACGTTAAAATCCGAGGGCTGTACAAAGTTAACGGGAGCGAATTGAAATCGGGCATTTGTAATTTCGATAGAAGAAACTATGACGAATCGAATGACGTATAGATCTTGTTAATCGGGTACATNTTTAACCATTTGGCACAATGTGTGAATGGTAAGCTGGGCAACTGTCTTGCTGAAAGTACATTGACCGTATAAAATTTAGGGGTAATTGGATTTACATCGCTCCAATAACAACAATGCTGGGAAGAAACAATGTCATTTGTTGAAAAGATATCTCAAAAGCAGCGTCTTCCTCATTTAGTTTCTTTGTTTGCCTCTTTATGGATAGTACAGAACCCGTTTCCAAAAATTTTTGCATAAGTTTGCGAGCCCCAACATGAGATATTTTTGTGTCCGGATATTTTTGCTGAAATTTTTGTATAACGACACGAAAACATGATTCACTAGTACCATAGCACAGTAGTAAATAAATTCTCTCTTTCACGGTTAACATCGCATGAAAAGACTTAATCTCACCNTTAAAAAAGGTCATTTTTGTGTTATTTTCGTGTACCTTCGCATTATTTTGGCGTTTAAGCGGAATTCGAAAGACATTTCGAATCGGGTAGTTCCACTTTCGTATTGGCCAAAGATTAAGCTTTAAATGAGATATTGTTTATCAAAATCGGTTGACTGGTTCTCTTGTTATAATCAAAATACTATACATGTAAAATCCTATCTAATTGGGGGCTAACTTCGTATAGGTTATTAATTATACTAAAAAAATCGATCATTTTTCTTTTTAATTAAAAAAGAAAACAAATTGAATTCTAGTTTTAAAACTGGGGAATAGAATATTTTTGCAAAAAAGCCTATTATTCACCGAAACGGTGAATAGCACCGCATAGAACACAACAATTTTTTTGTGCGACGCAAAACCCAATTATATAACCCAGATAACAATAGTCTGCAAAATAAAGTTTGTGTTCAAAACGAACCGGTGATAAAATAGAAAAATTATAGTTAAAAGTGTTTGTTGAATAACTTCGTTTTTGTCATCTAAATGTAAATTGTACACAAAGAGAGATTGTTAACAAATAAGTTAACAAATTCATGTGTCTGCCCAATAGTTGTGGATTACTCTTTAAAACCCATCTTGGGAGCAAGAATAAGTAAATTTATTACGATTTTAGAGCACGATTTCTAATCTTCAAGACCAGATACAGCCGACAAAAGATTTCGACAGAAAACTAGATTCCACTGATAGGAAGCTACTTACTGCTTGTGGAAGAAGAAATACTGCCAATATCAGGCTAAGAGAGTGTTTGCAAATTGCTAGATAAGACTAGATACAGCTGAAAAGATTCATGTCATGCACAACAGAGCAAAATATGGATAGTGAAAATCAGTCTGTTCAGGACAATCTGAACTTTTACACAATTACATAGTTACCTACAAAATCCAATTGGTGCAAGAATTAAAGCCCCAGAATATCAGTCAGAGGCTTGTTTTTATCAATTAAGTATTGAATATCAACGCTTAATCGACTCTTGAGCTGCTGTATAGTTTTCCCTCGGTTGTCCGCAATCTGTGTCATGGAAGAGACAGTGACGCAGATTGCTGTCAGCCGAGAACTATGCTCAAGGGTCTTGCTGGGGAGAGGGAAAGAGAAGTTTAACATCATTTCACGTCTTTCCATTTTGTTTCGTGGTTATAATTTGTATAATGAGTTATTTCAGAGTATTCTATTTGAAAATCTTGTTTATTCATGCTGAACAGGTATTGTGAGCTACCTCTTATACAAAATTTGATGATTTAGTTTCATTGTCAAATGTGAAGTTATATAAAAAATAGTAATAATAATTAATCTTAAAAATGTTGATCTATTTTTAATACGTACCATACCAAAGTCTAGCGAAATCTATTTAGAGCAACTCATGCCCTAAATTTTATTAATATAAACACAAGTTATCACATGTGGTTTTATAATCAAAACAAAGAAGGAAATGTGAAACCTGTATACATTCAGAAAAAAAGTTGACCTCATTATTTAAAGCATCTGTTGATGTTTAGGGCTAAAGGTCGCAAGATTAGTGTCAATGCCAACCAGATGATTCAGAAAACCGACACATTTTAGTTTTTAACAGAATAATTAATTTATTCAAAAATAAAAAGAAAAACTCACCTCCTTAACTTTATTTCTTCGTTCCCTTGCTGTTCTATCGGAATCCTCGCCCCCTCGAATAATATACGGACTGTTCGTGAATCCTTGTAACAATACATCCCCAATTTGATCCTCCCTAATACCTCTTCCTTTAATTTCTTGAGAATTACTTCTTCTAACATCGGGTCGTTCCAAAACTTTTAAATCACCATCGGATTCGATTTTAGCGCGTAATTTTTCGCGATCGTCTAAAACGTGGGGGTCCAAATCCATTTGAGAATCGCGATTGTGACGAACAAGGCCCAACCCCCTGGGACTTTCATCCATCGGGGGCGGTGGTGGAAGTAAAAATTCAGGTCCAGCTCGTTTAATTTGATCGTAAACTCGATACACGCTATCGGTGGAACTTAAACCAGCGCGGAAATCGGGTAAAAAGAAAAACGTGCCAAAACAGACAAATCCAAAGGTGAGAAACACCAAGACGACCACGCACTTTTCACGAGAGCGGAATGATTTTCGCGCGAATGCGATCGGGGCCCCGTTTGCGAATCGTTGGTAGCTCGGTAGGATTCCCGTTCCTGTGGCCGTCATTGTGGATGTGGGGAATTTTCGAAATCTTCTTTTTTATTTTTGAATTTGTTATAAAACGAGTCCTTTCTCTCGGCAGGATAAATCACCTACCTTTAGGTGCGGACCTCGAAAACGTTAACGCGCCTCGCTCGCCATTAAGGATCACACTGACAGTTCGTTAAAAGCTGCCTGTTTTACTGACATCCTCTTACGTCAAACTTGTGACGTAGTGGGGAGAAAAACAATTTTAACTCCATCTAGTGTATGTTAGCTAAACAAGCTTTTATGTTATTTAATTGGATTATTATGTATATTTGGTTGCCTATATCATATTAATATTTTTTTTTGAAATTGTTATAACTAAATTATAACAATTAAGAGAAAGTTTGATTAAAAATGCGTAAAGAAGCATAAGCAAATTAATTTTTAATGAAATAAAGAAATTCTTGTACAAAAATTCTTAACAACCGTAAACATTTAACTCATTAATGAGATCTTTTCTTATCTTAATTAAATAATTATTAATTAATAATTAAGTAATCTCGTATATTATTAAATTAAAATAATTACATAATAATATCACAATTTTGTACATTTAACATTTTTAGAATTTAAGTATTTTAAAATAATCATTAATTATTAACTTTTCGGTTTAAATCTAGACATATAAAATTCACAATCAGCACAATATAAATTAGGAGCAATAACATGTTTTTTCCTGCACAAATTGCACTTAGTCTTAGCACTCGTATAATTATTATTGTTATTGTTTACAATAATTGGGGTTACGATTGCTTTTGGGCTACTCGTTTCCGCACCTCCTTTCGTTCCTGGCTCAAAACTAACAGTTTTTTTCATCGCCGCGGGTTGTTTCGGTGGCAAAACTTGTTGATACGGTGAATATTTCTGTTGATAATTTTGCGGAATGGGTTGATACGGATAATTCGGATCGGGAACTCTTTGATAAGGCGAATTGTTTGGGATAAAATGATTTTGATATTGATTTATTTGATCGTTAGATGGTACTCGTTGATACAACGAATTTTGTGGGTTATTGGGTAATAATTGGTCTTCTCTCGATGGAACTCTTTGATATGGCGATATGGTTTGATTGAAATGTTGAATTTGATTGTAATCAATTTGAGGTGGAACTCTTTGTACCGGAGAATATTGATTGTTTGATGGATAACTATAAGAATTTTGTTGTTGGGAATTAGATCGTCCCGTTCCGTTTTGGCTGTTGTATGAAGATTGAGTTGAGTAACTTTGATTCGAAGGTGATGGAGATGGTGGGTGTTGAAAACCGGGGTTATAATTCGTTTGGCAAGAATATGGCATAACATTTTGTCTTTGAATGGGATGATAATTCCCGTTGGGTTGATTCCTCAAAGGTGGTTGATTTTGTATTTGGATGTTTTCTTGGGAATTATTCGGAGTTGGTAAGTTTCTCCCAAGAAAATCTTGATTCCATTGAGGATAATTTGAAATTTGATCTTGTTGATAAAATCTTGGGTTATTTTGAGGAATTGTCGTGTAATTTTGATTCTGTGGCAACATTTGATACGGAGATTGCCTATGTTGATAATGAGATGATACTAAAAGATTATCTATTGAGTTTTGACGGCTAACATAAACTGCTTGTTGATTACTTTGAACATGATTAATTTGATTGTGATTATTTTGAACGTTCCCATCTTGTTTAATTTGAATCCCTTCATCTTTAATTTGTTCGCTTTGTCTTAAAAGAATTTCTTGGCGAATAGCAGCAGCTTCAGGTTTATTCATCGCAGTTCTTAACACTCTCTCTAAAATTGGATTAGGAATGTAACTATCATCTTCTTGTTCTTCAGCTGTGGCCACTAAAATGACTTGATCGCAAAACGAAACGCTTTTTTTCTTAGCTTTACACTTTTTATCATCACCATCGCTGTTTGTTCTTTGTAATGGATGATGAATGATTTCTTGTTGTAAATGAATCAAATTTTGATGGTGTTGATAATTTTCGATATCGATTTCTTCCCGTTTTTTTAACGATAAAACTCCAGTTTGGATTGTGTTGTCGCCTTTCGAGTCTCTTTGAAGAAAATTATTTATTATGGGAGGACTTTCTACTGGTTCGTTGTTGGACATTTTTATTTCAAATCTAGATGCTAAATCTTTAACGGTTGATTTAACGACGGAATCGTTGGGGTTATTTTCTTTTTGGACCGTAATAGCATCTAAATTGTTAACGATCGCTTTTTTTTGTCTTAAAGCGGCTTGTTTGGCTTGAAGCTCTTTTAGCCAAACGTCGCCCGATTTAACATTTTCAACGTTTTTCTCGACTTCTTGTTTTCTTTCGTCCGTGAATATTTCTTGGCGCTTATTTTGAAGTTCGGAGAGTAAAGTGCTTGGTTTTGGATCGGGGAGGTGTTCCTCTAAAGCACTTAAATCCAACGGGGGTGGTGGAGGTGGGAAATCTTCGCTTGCTTGTCTCGAATGGATTACAGAACAAGCGGGACTTGGATATGGTGGTAATTCGAGATTTTGCAAAGAAGGTAAACAACAATCCACCTCGTCAACTCCTTCATCGTTGTCCATTGGATGTGGTTGAGTGTAATAATCATCACTTTTTACGGGACTTTGTACTTGATGAACTTCCGCTTGAGTTACGACGGTGTTTATTTGATTCATTGCGGCATCTCGAGTTTGATAGATTAGTACATCATGAGAGCCACTTCTTTGATGATTGTAAGTAAAATTTGAGAATTGATTGTAATTATAATAATTATTAGAATTATTTTCGACTACTTCTGATCCAGGTAACTTAGTAATAGCACTAAGTTGGGAAGTAGTTCTTAAAGGAGGAGGTGGCGGGACTTTAGCTGCTGTCAAAACTTTTCCTGCTGATCCATGAAAACTTTTTCTCATCAATTTACTTCGCTCTAAAGTTGGATTTGTTGAATTTCCCGTAAATTCTAAATGTCCCTCCGAGAGATAACCACACATACTATTTAAATTTTCATTTTTAATGCCGATGTTGCTGTCATCAACGGAGGAAATTGGTTTTGATTCGTTTTCGTTTGTATCCGTTAAATCGGGCATGCTGCGATTTTTTCTTTTAATTAATCCTCCCATTAATAATTTTCTTCGAATTTTGTGTTGTTTTTTGTTTTTGCCATCTTTTTCCTTTTTATCTTCTTTTTCGTCTTTTTTCTCTCGTTTTAATGTATCTTTGTTGATTAAAATTTCGGGTGCAATTGAAAAGTCTTTCGACATTTTATTCCGATCTTCACTTCTCGATCGTTTTTTATCTTTATTATCTTTATTTTTTGATTTGGAGAAAATACTTCTCGATTCCCTGGCGGGTTTATCATAAAGAATGTATTCGCTGTCCTCTTCAAAATTAATATTAACTTTGTTCTTTAAAGTGTCCTTTTTCTTCGGTAAAGTGGCGTAAATTTCAATACTTTTTTGCGGGGATTTGATCGTTTCGGGTTGAACTAATAGCTCTTTACTATTTTGCCTTGATGAAGATAGCGTTTTATCCCTCGAATTTTGCCTGGAATGTTTTCCAGATCCGCTGCTACCCTCTCTTGTATGTCTTATTTCTGGTAAAGGCTCCTTTTGCGAATTTATTGGCGTTTGAGTCATTCTTCTATGTAAACTCCTCGCCCTCATAATACAAGTGTTATATTTCATCCTAGCCAACGTTAAAGTTTGGGGATTATTATAAGGCGCATTCATGGCTGCTCTTGCTTTCGTGGCTGCTGCATTACAAAGAGCTAACGCCAAAACCAAATCGTGTTCATCCTCAAAATGTCGGGATTTTTTTAATAATTCATCAGCTTCATTGCATAAAGCATCGCAATTTAATGTTGGTTTTTCGGATAAATTACTGTAATCTTCTGGAATTTTTGCTAAATGCCCCATTTTCATTAAATGTTGAATCGTGTTCATTGATGAGCTATCGTTTGATGATAAAGAGTAAGAGTCATAACCGGCGTCATAAACATTTCCATTCCCATTTAAGTTCCCATTTCCGACATAATCCGTTTTTCTAGTTGGACTACTGGGAATACTATTACTTCCGTTTGTGTTATGATGAGGAATTTTCCCAAGAAGATACAAATAAGGATTCTCCATCGTTGTTGAACTAGCAGAAGAAGCACTGTTTCTATCGCCACTCCAATTCCCAGAATCTCTTCGACGAATTATAGGGATATGATCAGGTAAATTAAAACTTTCAACGCCCGATGAAGATCCATTACTTGGAGTTCTATGCACACTAACATTTTTTGGTGCATCAACAACATCAGTTCCAACCGGTGCTCTCCCATAAATATTATCTTGAATAATCGACAAATTTTGATACTCATTATATAATCGATTATTAATAGGAATTTGAGTTTTCTGACCCAAAGTACCATCAGGATTCGGCGTAATAGCCCTTCTAGTACTCCCAATATTCGGCTTCTCCGGACTTGGAGTAACCGATCTTCTAAAAATCGCTTGATTATCAACTTTATTTTTTTCATAAATCGTAGCGGCCTGTTGAACACACTCCATCGTTACTGGACTACCATTAGGTACAGCGTAAAGTAATAAAAGTGGTTGATGTCGACCTCTACGACATTTTTCAACAACCTGTTCCCATCTAGCGCCGATTTCTCTGACTGTCGCATCATCAAAATAAATCCAAACTCGAAATTTCGTATGGAAAAAAAACGTCGAATAATGTTTACCATAATAAGTCACAACTCCGACTAAGTTATGCGTTGTTATTTCAGCCCACCGATTATCAACGACTTTATGGAAAACATCTCCTAATTTTAGAGTCGTTCCAACAGTTGCGAAAACATCCATTATATGCTCTAAAGTTGGACGTTCTGAATCCCAAACGATTCCTATCGAAACTATTTCAGGTCGATTCATTAATGTCCTTGATATTTGTATTTTTGCACCACATGTACTCTAAAAAATTAAATTAATTAGTTTGTTAAAATGTATTTTATATTAAATTTCTTACGGGACAATCTCGTATATCTCCCATACTTCCAGCTTTTCGAAGAAGTTCTCCAAATGAATCTTGAGACGGTTTTCTTCCATTTAAAACATTTTGACGTACTTGAGTTGTTAAAGCGGATGCAGAAACATAATGAACCATCTAGAACAAAACAAAATGTAAATAAATAATGCTACAAAAACGAAACGTTGAAATGAGTACATAATTTAATTAATAATAAAGCAAATGATAAGCAAAAGGAGTTTCTGTCTCGGCCGCAAGCAATCTCAGCTACAAACTTCTTTGATCATTAATGATATTTATTAATGATGAAGCAAAAAGACTCTAAAAGAAGTTTACATGATCTACTGCCTCGTCCGCAAGCGACCTCGGCTACAAACTTCTTCGATCATTAAGGATAAAGCAAAAAGAGTCTGAAAGGCTATTACATAATCTACTGTTTCGGCCGCAAGCGACGTCGGCTACAAACTTCTTCGATCAATAATGATGAAGCAAAAAGACTCTAAAAGAAGTTTACATGATCTACTGCCTCGTCCGCAAGCGACCTCGGCTACAAACTTCTTCGATCATTAAGGATAAAGCAAAAAGAGTCTGAAAGGCTATTACATAATCTACTGTTTCGGCCGCAAGCGACCTCGGCTACAAACTTCTTCGATCAATAATGATGAAGCAAAAAGACTCTAAAAGAAGTTTACATGATCTACTGCCTCGTCCGCAAGCGACCTCGGCTACAAACTTCTTCGATCATTAAGGATAAAGCAAAAAGAGTCTGAAAGGCTATTACATAATCTACTGTTTCGGCCGCAAGCGACCTCGGCTACAAACTTCTTCGATCAATAATGATGAAGCAAAAAGACTCTAAAAGAAGTTTACATGATCTACTGCCTCGTCCGCAAGCGACCTCGGCTACAAACTTCTTCGATCATTAAGGATAAAGCAAAAAGAGTCTGAAAGGCTATTACATAATCTACTGTTTCGGCCGCAAGCGACCTCGGCTACAAACTTCTTCGATCAATAATGATGAAGCAAAAAGACTCTGAAAGAAGTTTACATGATCTACTGCCTCGGCCGCAAGCGACCTCGGCTACAAACTTCTTCGATCAATAATGATGAAGCAAAAAGACTCTGAAAGAAGTTTACATGATCTACTGCCTCGGCCGCAAGCGACCTCGGCTACAAACTTCTTCGATCATTAATGATGAAGCAAAAAGACTCTGAAAGAAGTTTACATGATCTACTGCCTCGGCCGCAAGCGACCTCGGCTACAAACTTAATCGATCATTCATGATAAAGCAAAATAACTCTGAAAGGTGTTTACATAATCTACTGCCTCGGCCGCAAGCGACCTCGGCTACAAACTTATTCAATCATTAATGATGAAGCAAAAAGACTCTGAAAGAAGTTTACATGATCTACTGCCTCGGCCGCAAGCGACCTCGGCTACAAACTTCTTCGGCTATTAATGATAAAGCAAAAAGACTCTGAAAGGAGTTTACATAACCTATTGCCTCGTCCGCAAGCGACCTCGGCTACAAACTTATTCGGTCGTTTACGATAAATGAAAAAAATTTTTTAAAATGTGTATACATAATCAAAACTTATAAAAAAGATTCGATTAAAACACCCACATCGTAAAGGTCATAGCAAAACCATAAGCTAACTCTATTTAAATGTCACGTAAAAGACCTAAGGCGTGTAATACATAACAGTTACCAACTCGTTTAACATTACATAACTTAAGTCGCCTTAACACAATAAAAAATGAAGCCAATACGTTTCCTTAAGCACGCATATCAACATGTAAACGATAAAATTGATATTCAAGGCGAATGTAATCGTTCGCTATTCTCAACATGTTGTGAATTGTAAAATAGATTCTTCCATGAAAGTACATTAACTGAATGCATAAAAAAAAATATTTTACCTGTGTAAATGATAGCGGTTCTGAAGTGGCTTGACAAGCACCACAAATGCTTTGTTCGACTAAAGTCATTGCGAATTTTTGATGTGGTATACATTGTCGTACGTTGCACATATCTTCGGCTACACCTTGGGCAATATGGGTGTGGATCCTCAGAAGGATGTTTTCAAAGCACTCGGCAGCATCGTCCATAAAACCTAATTGAAAACGTTGTTGATCGAAAAAGCTTTCTGCTAAAGCTCTTCGTAAAGCATCCGGTGGTAAAGCGGTTTCATTTGAAAATTGAAGTTGGGAGAACAACTCCTGTAACAACATAAAAAAATTGAAATCAATTTGTAATTAGAATCGCGTGTAATAAATAAATAATAACCAATTTCCGCCTAAAAATTAAAAATTAGTTTCCTTATGGAGTTCGGGTTTTAAGAGAGAACGAGAGTTTAATAGAGTAGTTTTATTTGTCCTTAAACTGGCGCCAGTAAGTCGCTCAACTACTATGTTGCTACAATTCTTTCGTAATCATACAGACGCGAGATGTTATGGGTTCAAACCTAAAGGTTTTACCAGTGGTTCTTTAGTTAACTGTTAAGATCACGCTCAAAAGCCTTTGTCTCTCGCGCAACTCACGAACACTTTGTCTCGTACATTAGATCGTGATTAGGTCGTTTTAAACCGTGAGTCACCCGCGGGGCGAGAAATCTTTGTCTCTTTGTCGTTGTAGACAAAAATGAATGAAGAAAATTAAATATTCAACAAAAATAATATATGTTGTAACATTTTTTTAGAAAGACTCTCGTTAAAAGGTTCTTGGAAAAAATCTCTCTCGATTTCTTCGAGGGATTTAAAAATTCTTTGACTCATCCAGGTATTTCCGGAGGAGAAATTCTTTGGGTGGTATCCTTGAACCATTTTAAATTATAAAAAAACTTTTATTACCTGGTACTGTGGAAAGATAAAGATAATTTTAGAAATTTACCTTTAATGGCATCAAAAACAAGGAAGTGAAGATAACAAAAAAAGTATATTTGATGTGTTTTATATTTGTGCCCATATTTCAACTATTTATCCATCATCAGGGATTTATGAAAACGTAATAATTAAAGAAAAAATCAATTTAATTTTAATAATGCGATAATAATGCATAAATAATTTGTCTCGTTTAAACGAATTTAAATTCATTTATGTCCTCCAGGTAATTGAAAAACGAACTAATTACACTGAATTCGCAATAATCGACTTTCTAACTATTAACCGAAGGCCATATGCGAAAATTATTAGGTCACACAAAAACTAAAACCAGAAAAAAAAATTCCTAGCACTTCATCTTACCCTAAAATCATTTATCAAAATCATAACATCTCCGAAACTCCTATTATTTACATCCCCATCGCTTCCTGTATTCAAAGATATAGCTTTTACATTTGGCAACACTGGGAGCACAGGCTTCTTCACCGCGGCATCTCTTTGCTGAGCGCCTTGCTGCGCCACTGGCTTCCGGTACCTGAACTTTATCATTTTCACAGGTCACAACATATCTTTATATCAACTTCAAAAAATCTTTATCGATTTATAACAGTTTTTAGGTTTAATTTGGTACCATCGGTTGAGTACCACATTCACTGGGTGCGCACACCTGAGTTAAAGCAAAGAGGTCTACCTTTCACTATGGCCACGCGGGAACTGAGGTGAACCGTTCGGTTTAGTAGAGGAGCTGTTGGTTTGTTAAAGAGCGAAGAAGTGAACCTTCTCCGTCAGTGAGGTTTACAGGTAAACAACCGACGACGCTTTGCCGAGTTGTAGGTGCTTTCGACGGGACGAAGGGGGTCTTACAGGTAGACGAAGAACTGAAAACGAATAATTGAAACTGAGGGTGTTATAAAAGGCGAAATAGTCCAGGTGGTTTATGCCACAAAAAAAATTATTCAAAAAAAAATAATGTAGGTTGTTCTTATTCATATCAAACCATATATCTCTTTGGTTTTCTGTAGGCGGTGACGCCTTCTTCAACCTGCAGACCAAGTTATAAAAGTTACCTGCTTTATTTATTTAATTTTTTCCTCCATAATCTCTACCTAGAAGGCAACCGGACGTTGACATCGTTTCATAATAAACCCAAAAAGAGAATTGACATAAAAAGTAACCAAGAAAACCATCTCCTGGTTTTCCAGAAATAGAAGATAAACGATAACTGGTTCGTTTCTAATTTAAAACGTAATTATCTCATCCATTTCGTCGACTAACTGCATCGTTAATGGATATGGAAATTCGCAAATGACATGTCCACGTGCCACTACAGAGTTTATCTTCATTACTTTATCATTTCAACTATATTTATAATGTATAATAAAACCTTTTTTTTACGATTAATGATGATATATAAATAAATCGATGATGAAATTTTTATCACTCAATTGTGGATTTTTGATAAATTACTATTCAGATTATAATCAGTTTAAAATCATTTTGGCATGATTTTATATTTTGCAGTTTTACTATGTTTCTCATGTGCTTGATTCATGTATATATGAGTCTTGCATATGTTACAATTGAAGGGGTCGGGAGAAAAAAGTGCCAAGCATCATTTTGGCCTAACCGAATTTAGCAGTGCTGTCTATGAGTAAATTGAACAAATTACAAGCAGCACTGTTTAGATTTCAATTATTGCCGTTAGATTGCTCTGTATTTGCATTGCATTTTATTACCTCAACTGGTTGTTTGCAAAGTTTTGGGGAAGACAGTGTCAAGCTCCTCATGAGAAATGGAGGGAAAGAGGAAATGTGTTAGAAATCTTAAAGATTATTATGAAAACCTAGAAGACTTGTATGAAGAATTTGATGACAGTGACAGCGATCCCAATTATTTAGCAACAAACCCTCCCTACACCAAAACTGTCATGTGGACCTGCATTTTACTGCAGGAAACTGTGGACCTATAACGTAGGTATCCATAACTGCACTTCTGGACAAGGTTTTATGTTCATGTGGGATGAATCAGTTGGAAAAAGGGGTAGTGATGAAATAGGAAGCTGTATTGTAAAGTACTTATTAGTAGCAAATGTCCACGCAAAGAAGTTGGTAATATTTACCGACAACTGCGGAGGACAAAATAAAAATTGGAACATAATGTCGCTTTGGTCACACCTTGTAGCTAGTAAACGTTTTGAAACAATAGAACATTACTTCCTGATAACTGGGCATACTTACACACT